ACCTACATGCATATATGGCATGTCAAATGTTGCAATGTTTTTCCGTGCATATTGTAAAATTTTTTGTATCATTCTATAATTTTCCATTTGTATAATTTATATTCTATAATTCTCCATTTGTACTGTATATTTTCTTTTATATTTGTATTCTATACCGGTATTTTCCATTTGTATTGTTGTTATTTGATTTTATAAATTTTTATTTGCATATATTTTTTATTTGCATCTGTATAATTTCTTATTTGTACATGTATTGTAAAATTTCTTATTTGTATTTGATAATCTTTCATTTGTGTATAGTATCATTGGTCAAGATTTAGCCTTTATCGTGTTGAAAATGAGGGAGATGTTCCGGTGCTCTTGAAAAGCAAACTGGGTTCAGATGACAGCTATTAATATGAAAAGGGAGCGCTGGCAGGCAAATAACTGATCATTCCTTAGAGGTTTTTTCTGAGAAATAACTATATATGTATACTGTGTATTAAGAAACAAACATACGAGGGCTGTTCAATAAATAATGTCCTCGGTGCTCGGAAAGAAGCAAAAGACGCTTTTCAATGATTGTGTCTTCATTATTTTACTTATTAATCTCTTTTAATTACAAAACATGTCCGTAACCTTTTTTTATCCAATTTCTGATTGAATTTAGAACTTTTTGGGTATGACCCTTGGTATTCTGGAAAATAGCAGATCCCATGATTTCCTGGACTTGTTTCTTCCTTATCAAAAGAGTTTTTTTCAAGTTTGGAAGTAGAAACAAGTCAAAAAGTCAAAGATCTGGAGAATATTGTTAATGTGAAAAAACGTTTTCTGTTAATCCCGAAAACCGCTTTACTCTTCAAGGCGTGCGGGTTTTGGACGCTTTCATGAAAAATTTAATGTAGTGGATTCCTGATTCTGGGTTCTTCCTCCGATAAACCTTTCGATTTTTTTGCAAAAAAATTGTTTTTTAGCCTCATCCAGAAATTAAACTGTCTCCCCGAATACGAATTTGAACAATAATACCACTAATATTTAAGAACATTGCAAATAAATCTGTCTTTGTGCTCTTGCAATCCTTTGCTCTCGCCAGACAAGTTCCCTGTTTTTGTCAAGTACATCTCATGGTAAATTTTGTTTTGAGGATTTTAAGCAATAGATGCATTATCTGTTTGAATATCCAAAAAACGCGGATAACTCGAATTACTGATATTTTAAAGTAATTGTTAAGACATTCGTACACGCTGTCGTTTTCACTCATTTTTCAAAATATAGGGTGACCTTTGAGTAGTAAGCTTTTTAACCGTCAAACGTTTCTTAAAAAAAATGTAAACTACCCTCGATGTGATGTCTATCAAATTTGCTATTTGTCTTAAAGTCAATCCTACATCATCAAGCATTTTTTGTTGAAATTTGGCAAACAGTACATAAGTGTTATAATTTATTGTTGGCAAGGACGGTACCCATTTTTGATGCCCGTTAAATAATTTTTTTTATCATTGAAATCAACCTGCTCATTTGTCTATAAAACAGGTATTAGTTGCAGTAAATGTCACTTATTTCAGTAAATATTTCTTTGGAATTTTTAACAAGTTTTACAGCAGCTTTGTTTAAGCTTTTATTTTCACTCTAGTTTACCGATTCTTTACCATTCATTTATAATGCAGTGTCTCGAATAGCCCTTGTTTCCCAGCTTCTCACAATGAAACTACGTGATGAAAAGTGGTCACATGAATTGTTATAAATTCATTAAAGATTCAATTATGACAGAAAGCCAATTTTAATGTCATATGATATCTGTATAGCATGACATACAGTTCAGGACATTATTTATTGAACAGCCCTCGTATTGTTACATATGTATGATGAGCAAGAATGCCTCTGCAAAATTATAATTTTCATGGATTCCTATCTTAGAAGACAAGAAGCCATGGAATTTTCAATTTTGGTGGGACTCTTTTGATTATATAATGAAAATGTATCAACTCATTGAAATGAAAATTTCTTTGAATGAGTGTCTCTTTCAAAATTTTGAATTTCATGACCCTTGGATCAGGAGTTCTCGTTTTAGGACAGGGATCTTTTCATTGGAAGGGGTTCAATGTTTGAAGGGGCTTTGTGCGACTTATATAATAGTTTAAAATAAGGGTATACACGTACAAAAACTTTGAGAAAATACCACTTTTGTGATTTTTTTTGTGTGTTTCGAAGAAGTTAAAGGTAGGTGAATATTGATCATGAGATCAGTTGGAAAAATATAACATCGTAAAAAAGTTTTCAACATAAAGAAAATACAAATATTAAGAACAATTTTAACATTTTTAAAATAATGAAATATACTTTCAAAACAACTTGAATAGAATTGCACTATATATATTAGAAATTAAAAAAAAAAACAAGCAAATTCAAAGAATTGTGGTCCCCCGCTTTCGGTGTCTTTGCGGGTGAGATGTTATTTTTTATGACATATTGTGTCTAATATTAACACCCTGTCGTATGTCATTCATTTAGAAATTATCATTGAAGTTGATTTTTTTGAAGGATGAAAACCCTAATCCTGACCGTTAAAAATTTATGGCCAATGTTAACGTTTTTTAAAAGGAGGTCCACTCCAAGGTCAAGATCAAAGGGTCAAAGTTGTTGATGAAAGGTTTTCTCACAAGGATTACATATGTGAAGTAATCCTAGTTACCGTTCAAAAGTTATGGTCAAGGTAGTACTTAAATCTTTAAGGTCAAGGTCAAAAGTCAAAGTTGTTGATATCCAATTAAAGGTCCTGCCACAAAGAATATATATGTGAAATATGAAAGTCCTAGTATCTATCGTTCAAAAGTTGAGACCAAAGTTAAAGTTTTTTAAAAGTAGTTAAAACTCCAATGTCAAGGTCAAAGGGTAAAAGTTGTTGGTATCCAATGAAAGGTCTTCTCACAAGGATTACATATTTGAAGTACGAAAGCCCTAGCTCTCACCGTTCAAAAGTTATGGTCAAGGTTAAAGTTTATTCATAAGTACGTAAATCTCAAAGGTCAAGGTCAAAAGGTAAAGGTTGTTGGTATCCAATGAAAGGTCTTGCCACAAAAAATACATATGTGAAATATAAAAGTCCTAGTATCTACTGTTTAAAAGTTCTGACCAAGGTTAAAGTTTTTTAAAAGTACATGTAGTTAAAACTCCAAGGTCAAGGTCAAAGGGTAAATGTTGTTGGTATCCAATGGAAGGTCTTATTACATATGTGATAGTTTAATTCAAAAGTTATGGTCAAGGTTAAAGTTTTTTCATAAGTACTTAAATCTTTAAGGTCAAGTTCAAAAGGTCAAAGTTGTTGATATCCAATTAAAGTTCCTGCCACAAAGAATATATATGTGAAATATGAAAGTCCTAGTATCTATCGTTCAAAAGTTGAGACCAAAGTTAAAGTTTTTTAAAAGTAGTTAAAACTCCAATGTCAAGGTCAAAGGGTAGAAGTTGTGGTATTTCTTTTACATATGTGTGTCTCACTGTTCAAAAGTTATGGTCAAGGTTAAAGTTTTTTCATAAGTTAAATCTCAAAGGTCAAGGTCAAAAGGTAAAGGTTGTTGGTATTGATCTTGCCACAAAAAATACATATGTGAAATATAAAAGTCCTAGTATCTACTGTTTAAAAGTTCTGACCAACATTAAAGTTTTTTAAAAAATATAAAACTCCAAGGTCAAGGTCAAAAAAAGTTGTTGGTATCCAATGGAAGGTCTTCTCACAAGAATTACATATGTGAAGAAAAGCCTACCTCACCAAAAAGTTATGGTCAAGATAAGTACTTAAATCTTTAAGGTCAAGTTCAAAAGGTTTTGATATCCAATTAAAGTTCCTGCCACAAAGAATATATGTGAAATATGAAAGTCCTAGTATCTATCGTTCAAAAGTTGAGACCAAAGTTAAAGTTTTTTAAAAGTAGTTAAAACTCCAATGTCAAGGTCAAAGGGTAAAAGTTGTTGGTATCCATAGGATTACATATTTGAAGTACGAAAGCCTTCACCATTCAAAAGTTATGGTCAAGGTTAAAGTTTTTTCATATATATATATATTAAAGTTCCTGCCACAAATATAAAAATATGAAAGTAAACATCGTTCAAAAGTTGAGACCAAAGTTAAAGTTTTTAAAAAGTAGTTAAAACTCCAATGTCAAGGTCAAAGGGTAGAAGTTGTTGGTATCCGATGGAAGGTCTCTCAAAAGGATTACATATGTGAAGTACGAGAGCCCTAGCTCTCACTGTTCAAAAGTTATGGTCAAGGTTAAAGTTTTTTCATAAGTACATAAATCTCAAAGGTCAAGGTCAAAAGGTAAAGGTTGTTGGTATCCAATGAAAGGTCTTGCCACAAAAAATACATATGTGAAATATAAAAGTCCTAGTATTTACTTTTTAAAAGTTGCGACCAAGGTTAAAGTTTTTGAAAAGTAGTTAAAACTCCAAGGTCAAGGTCAAAGGGTAAAAGTTGTTGGTACCAATGGTCTACAAGGATTACATATGTGAAGTACGAAAGCCTTAACCATTCAAAAGTTATGGGCAAGGTTAAAGTTTTTGTGAATATAGCTGACAGACTGACGGACAGACGGACAGACGAATGAGATTTAATGTCCCCTCGCTTTCGCGAAAGCGGGGGACAAAAATAAACAGTCCCAGGTTGCCAAAGTAGTACCATGGTTAGAACCGCAACTTGGGTTAATTAGCGGGGTGTGGAAAAACGGTCCTACGGATAAATCTGAGATCGCAGTATAGATGAAAGAAAGATCCCAAAAGGGGAATTGCCGAGAACAGGTCTAGGATAAATATTCTCGGAGGGACGTAAAACAAACAATCAACAGACAAAGAATGTTTGAACAGTGTGACAGGATTGCACCTTACTTTGTTCTGTTGTATTCACAACAAATACAACGACAAAAATTAATCCAAATCTGTTATTAAAAGATATTTATGAATTACAAGCGTTTTGCATGTAGTAAGATGAACAGCTCTTCCCCATAAATTCTTGGATGTGTCTTGCTGTATTTGACAACAAATAAACGGATTTATACTTCGCAGAATGTGTTTACCCTGAAATCAATTTCTTTTTCCGACAGGTATCTTTGATCGATCCTCTGTAACTGTAGCAGCCTGGGCAATAATTGTGACAGCGCACGTTAATTACCAATAACAGCGGGCAGGGTTCTGTGGTTGTATGGGGTACATGACTGGGTACAATACATCGGAGATCCCACCAGAATGATAAACACAAATGTAGAATGTTCAATCAAACAGGACAGGTTAGGATGAATCAGCTCTAAACCACTCTATTTAAGATGATCAACGTCTAATGTTCAAAATGGAAGCACGGATTCATTCATGGATACTTTTGATGTTTATGTACATAATAACTAATAACAAAGGTGAGTAGTTTCTTGTACACGTTATTTTGGTTTTACAGTTGAACTTAGATATCTCGAACACTAATATCTCGAATACCATAGATCTGTCGAAGTGATGTGGAAATCTCAATTCCTTATTCTTTTAGTATTTAACCCTGGATATCTCAAATCGTCGGATATCTCGAAACTTATTTGGCCCCATTTACTTGGAGATAATGAGGTTATATTATATGTTGAATATTTTATAAATATTCCAGTAGTGGAAGGGTGAACGCCCATGCCGGATTTTTTTTAATAATAGTATTGAATTATTTACATAAGTGTGCTTTTTTTTAAAGAAACCATTTCTATTTGTTGGCAAGTCTTTTTATTGTCTTTTTAAAATGAAAAAAAATGTTTTTAAGACGTTGGAAGTATTGTTTGGCGTACAATAAAAAAAAAAAAGAACGACAAGAACGTTTCATATTATAACAAACTCTTATTATTTCTCTAAAGCGATACGGGATAATGAGTCTATATACAAACTGTATGCGGACATAGAAGCGAGAAACAGAGTGGGAGAGCATACCCCCCCCCCCCCCCCCAAGTGCTTCCCTGTTCCTACGGCCATGATATAAATGAATAAATATAAAGTAAATCAACCAAACTCTATAATGCATTCAAGGGGTGGGTGCGATGGGGTGGGGTGGGGGTAATGGGGGTGGGGTGGAGTGGGGGTGGGGGTTAAGAGCAGTAGCCAAGGACAGGTCAATTTTTGCCAGTTAAGGACAGATGATACAAATTAAACTTTTGTCAAAATTCCTTGAGATAACAACATCAGTTTTCTTTATATGAGTAAAATTAGTAAAATGAATAAGTTTCACAGCACCGATTTTGATTTATTTCAGTCAAATTTTCACAATAATAGAATTTTCAGTGATAAAAAAATTATAGATTAATAAGGATGGTTGTAGAAAGGTTGGATTTTGAACAACAGAAAGCTTACAAATTCTTAATATTTAAGAAATAATTTATTAGCACATCAATTACAACCAAAATAGGTCAAAAAATATATACCAATCCAGACATCCATATTTTTGTTTGTATCATCTGTCTTTAAGGTTGATATATACAGAATACATATAAAACTATAATCCCTGGAATATTATACATTTATTGCATGATAGTGAGGGAAATATGAAGACTTATTCAGCCAAGAAAAATCATATTCCCCAAGGGCTTCGCCCGAGGGGAATATGATATTTCTTGGCTGAATAAGTCTTCATGTTTCCCGAACATTCATGCAATGAATTGTTTATTATACCGAAACAAGCAAAACCTTTGAAATAAACATAAACTTTCAAATTCGGCACCGCTCTCAAATTCGCTTTCATTTTTTATGACGTAAACCAGGTTATTGTGACGTCTACTATACTCTCGAGAGTTTTCTTTAAACGAACGATAATTTTTGCGGGAAAATGCACTAAGTATCCGAAGAGGTGGAATATGATGAAAAGCATGCCGACGGCCGGGAAATATGAAGTTTTACGGCCCGATCACGTGATAACTTAGAACCAATCAGATAACGTGTTGTTTAGAATATTTATAATGAGGTATAATAATAGTATTTGTATTCATTTCAATATTTTGGAGGAGGAACAATTAGTAATTTCCACACCCCATCCTGAATCAAATGGTTTTATCATCGGATTTTAGCTCTATATAGGCAGACCCCCTAGAACTTAAAAAATGTTAAATTAAACAACACTCTCGTTATTTGTTTGTTAACTCCTAGGTTATGACTGTTTCTATTGATTAATATGAAAAAGACACTAACTTGTTGAGAGTAATGAGATTCTATTTTCGTGATTTGTCAATGAAATTCAATTTTGAAAAAAAATCCGATCGTATCTCAACAGTCGAGTATTCAGTACTCTAGACAGCACTTCCGGTGCTTCGATTATTCCTCATGGGATGTTTTCAGGCGATTTCTGGTTTTTCACCAGTGCCTTTAATTATAATAATGATAAGGTTGCTTTGCTTTCGACCAATAAACGATTTCTAAACTCCTATGTTAAAAAACTTGTCTCTAGTTCGTTAGCATAGAAATGACTCGACTCCCTGTTGAAATTATTCTCTCGACAACATGATGACAGAGAAACAAAAGAAATTTTAACTGCCAAATGCAAAAAGATGTTTGAATCAGTTAATGCTTTAAAAGAAGGGAAATATCATAATACGCGTTTTAGATATATTCCGCTAGAAAGTATTGATTTACATAGTTGGTATCTCTATAATTATCCCAGACTGCCTCTCTATTAGAACATTTACAGAAGAATCTGAATTACTGACAATTGTTCTCTCTTCAAAGACTGCATTGAAGTTCTACCCCATGTATTTAGTATTTACAGTTGTCTTTAAATAAAATCAGTTTAAAGCTAATTCAGATTCCACATAAAAATCAGACCATTGCCCGAGATAGACTACTAAAAAATAAATTGATGTTACAGAGTTTTCATTCATAAACATGCTGAATTTATTTAGCAATTCTGTTGAAACTTACTGGATCGTATTTTGACTGACATATTTCATACTAATATACATTTGTAGTTATCCTTATGTCTTTATACTTTTGACAACGGATTAATCCGTCTACCTGTCCATGGTGAGTAATGGCCGACCGACAGCCCTGGATGCTTATTCTTCCTGGTCCACCTCTGAAATTTTCAGGGGTTCGTGTCTTCAATCTGATTAAAATACAGATCTCTACATAGCGCATAGCCAATAGATGCGCTATGTAGAGATCTGCATGTATTTTAGTCAGATATTGTCGTGTCTTTATGTTGTCTTCAACGATTGATCAATTACTTGTTGACAATGTCTTGGAAAAGTAAAAATAATTTCTCATATTGGCATTATATATACATGTATATACATATTTTTTTTCCAGAATCAGAAAATGCCACAATAATCAACGAAGACATCGGGAACTTATCCTGTCACAAATGCGAGGAGACATTCCAACAGTGGGATCCCTACACGATTTGTCAAATACAACCAAACAACACCCCCAAAATACCCTGTCTTAAATCAGAACCCTACTGCATGGTAAGAAACCCCCTATACGATTTGTCAGATTCAGCCAAACAACACCCGAAAAATACCCTGTCTTAAATCAGAACCCTACTGCATGCTAAGAAAACCCCCTACACCATTTGTCAGATACAGCCACACAACACCCGAAAAATACCCGAAAAATACCCTGTCTTAAATCAGAACCCTACTGCATGCTAAGAAAACCCCCTACACCATTTGTCAGATACAGCCACACAACACCCGAAAAATACCCTGTCTTAAATCAGAACTGCATGGTAAGAAACCACACCATTCAAGTTGATGGAACAAAAATATCAGCAGTCTCGTTTGAAGTCATTATTTCGTAAGTTCTATGGTTGAAACAATGACCTTGTCAGCAAATACAATTTATCATTGAGTCAAATGATGAATGACGTTTTTCATACTACTTGCAATTGTTAGGTCATTATTTACATAATGAATTGACGACGGATTTTCCGTTATCATGACAATTTATTGGCCCAGTGGTATATGTATTTTTTCTGCAACAGGTGCAACATGAATTCTCATATACAAACAAACAATGAAAGCAGTTTATTTTAATTATACACTGAATAGTCTACAGATTTTCCATTTTCCTATCATGACAAGGAGCACATGGCGGTTGTGACAAGGCAGCGAGATGCCCGCTCCTCCATGGCACCTGATCCTACCTCTGATGTTTTAGAGGTCCGCGTTTGCAATATTGAATGGACTTACTATATATTGAGCTTAAATTCTGTTCAGTGTCAAAATGTATCATCCATACATTTAGTTGATTTGTAGTTATTACGCCAAATGTCATTTTATCCATGAAATTTCATGATATATTTCTGTTGTAACATTCAAAATCTTTTTTTCAGGAAGTTTCTTCACATTAAGAGGGATAGGGGGTTGTGGCCATTTTTATACTATATTGATTTCCTTTGGAAGAAAAGCTCGATATGAAGATATACAAAAATGATCAAATTTTAAAATTAAATTGTATAAAATTAATCTTCAATAATAACTTTTTTTTTTAATATATGATATCTTAAGCTGTCATTATCATTTGGCAAAGAAAAATTTATATAGACAGTTGATGACGATATCGTTTGAAAAGTTTTAGCTCTTTTTCTGTTTTTAGGTGGAGCGGGTTTCTGTCATGGGTCTAACGACCAGTATCAAACGAGAATGTGCGGCCGAATGTTACTACGGCTGTAGATCAAAGAACTTTGGGGTTACCACGGTTTCCTGTACTTCCTGTTGCCAAACACCCGGATGTAATACTGGCAATTCAGCGGAACATATAAATAAATCAAAGTTTGGTCTAAAGACATTGTTCTCTATTATATTTTTATTACAATATATTCTAAAATAATTGCATCATCTTATTTTATGTGTCTAGTGCTACTTGTGTACGCTTGTTGAATAAATACGGCTCGTTAAACAATGAAACGTTTTAGATTGTTTAAAGTGAGTGCTTTGCTCCACATTTGTATTGTTTAAAAGACTTAAATTGCTATTAAGAATTGAATCTAACTAGTTTAAAGATTTTGATTATTGCTTTAGATAAAAAATATATTTATTAAGAAATGAAGTGGAAAAAATACATTGGAGGTAAATATTATTTTCTAAAAGATTTTGATCAGTTAATTTTTAAAACGATTTGAAATGGAAATCATTTACAGAAGTTGTATGCCCTATAAGCAAACAAATGAAAATGATTATGAGTATGCGTATATCTGTACATGATATTTTAAACATACTACAGAGGTAAAGCCACTTTGACTTTATTCCATGTAATCAGAAACTCCTTTAGGAGAATCCTTGTTACTTGAAAGAAAAAATAATTAAAGTAGAAAAAATGTGAAAAAGTTGTCACATTTATCATCCAAAAATTCACAGAGAAGATGCTCATCAATACAACTGGAATTTATAAGGATGACGTTAGAGAAAATTTTCCTTGTAATCTGTATTCATAAAAGTGATGCATCCATTTTTTTTAATTTAGAAAACTTAAAGGTTATTTTCAAGGTTTATTTTCAAGTTATATATATCTATATCTGACATCTATTCTAGAATTGATCTCCAATTAACTCAACGTATCCTGTACTAGAATATACTACATGCAGTATACAGTTATTAACCGATGTCATTGTTGTCAATAAACTAAATTATATTGTTTTAATTAAAGGAGATAAAACATGACAGACAAATTAACACACAAACTGATATATTAATAGCAAATCAAGTTCAAGATCAGTTTGTTCACCCAAATAAACACTTGCATGTACATGTAATAATAAATGTTTTTATAAAGGTATACTTAGAGGTGTAGAGGTACTTAGAGAATCCGACTTGCAATTTGATGCACATGTAAAATAAATTCTTTGATAAATGGAAAGTTAAAACACTGCCAAAATGTTTATTTTCCTGTTATTCAACAAAATTAATAAAATCATTTTACAATTGTTCAGAGAAATTATAAAACAAGAAAAAAAAAGAAATCCTTTCTGCAAAAGAAAGAGGTATAAGTGAATGAAATAAGTAAAGATATCGAACAGTGATCGATCTTAAAGAATCCCTGAACAGTACAAATCTATAAAGAGGACATAGACACGGATCCCTGAAATCTCTAGAGGTGGGATCAGGTGCCTTGGAGGAGTGAGCATCCCCTGTTAACCCGTCTCACCGCCGTTAGTCCTATATATGTTCATTTGGACTGAACGTTCCGTAGTGGTAATTAGTTTAAAAATAAAGGCTTAATTAATATTGGCTTGAAACATGTCAGTCATAAATAGGATCTTAGGACAGGGTTATTTTTGCTAACAAAATCATTACAGTGATCATAAAATATATGAAATCCATACTTTAGACGAGGTTGTCGAAATCTATGTAAAATCTCTTTATTTGTCAGTAGCCTCGTTTGACGTATTAGTGGTACTCAGAGCATGCTCTTGAGTATCTATTTAGTTAGGAGTATCTATTTAATTAGGAGTATCTATTTAATTGGGAGATGTAATTGCCCTATGCAGGTGATAATGGAATACAATTACAACAATAAGGAAAAGTTGCCAATAGGAAAGCTCCTTTATAATAAAATTTAGTTGTTAGTTAGCCGTTATCGTATAAATTCAATAAAAAAACATCAGAAAGAAAGGAAACTTCTCTCATTTATGTAACAGCACACCATTATAACCTGCATATGGAATTTATGGCTCGCAGTTGATTCGAAACGCAAAATCATTTTCTACTTTCAAAGAATTCCTGACACAAGGAAAATTGCTAAAAAAATTAAAAGATGATGAAACAAGGAAATGAACCAACCTTTTCAATTTTCTTTCAACTGATTTTTTCATTTATCCAATCATGACACACGACCGGTGTGATGTGTCTGTAGGGGATGTCCACTGCTCTATGGCATCTTATCCCACTTCTGTTATCGGGTGGTGAGCTCCGTGTTTGCTCTGATCCTGATTTGTTTTCTTTAAATTGACTTTTGAGCTTAAATACTGCTCGTTATCTTTATTTCGCATACATTATACATGAATGTTTTTGCTATTTCAATTGCAACCTTTCCGACAAAAGAAAAACAACTTCGTAGACGTTCAGGACAACCCAGCCCCCTTTTCATAAGTTCTAATCTTAATTTAAAGACTTCCCTTATCTGTGGAGGATGGAGCTCATTATTATTGAATGTAAACATAAACATCCTTTTATGTCACAAAAGGAACCTTCTGTCTAACCAGTTACATGTTACAAAAGGAAACGACTCCTTTTTAAACTTTAACATCCGGTGATGTTAGTAAATACATTCGTGGAGGTCTTCCAGGCTCGCCGAAAAGGACCCAGAAGATGCCAGGGGGAATGACACGTTAATTAGTAATCTTTATTTCAGCTGCGTATAATGACGTTAAATAACAAGGGTGGTCAAAGTATTATGGTCATTTTGACTATGACATAAAAAACACTCTTCACAAATAAGGGAATTAGAGTTTCAAAAAGGCGTTCTTAATATGAGAGTTCCTAAGATTATAAAGCTATTTCATATATATATATATATATATATATATATATATATATATATATATATATAACCATAAAAAGCATAGAAATATATTTTTATCGTTAATTATATATATATATTTAGCTAAGCCGAATCTCCGCCGAGTCAGACTAATCAAATTATTTCTCCACTTTACCTTCAAATTTTACAATTCTTAGGACGCTGCGTGTAAGAAAGATGTCTTCTTGAAGAAATTCTTAAGTATATGTCTTTGTCGGGGTTATCCTTCACATCCACAGGACCTGATGGACAGAGGTGTGGATTAACCTACGAAATTATACACCACGTTAGATATATTTGTCCATACCTTTTTGTGAAAGGCTCTCGCTTTAAAATAATCAATTTAATCAAAATTTTTTCTTCTGTAAAAAAATTTTGGAGCCCCATCCCCAACATGTTGGATTTCTAATGTTAGAAAAAAATCTTTTATTGGTTATCAAATTTTCTTAGATAAATATGAAAAGATTTTTCTAGCAACTGGCTATTCCTTCAAAAAATCTACGTGACTGTAGGAATAAAAAAGAGATAATCAATAAAAAGGTCTCTCTGAAGTCAACTTACCTATATAGATGTATCCAATACCTGTAAGATAAAAAGTGCTTCTGCGATTTACCAGATGTTCCAAGGTAGATTTTCAACACATTTACTATGTCAGTAGTTAAATGAAGGATGTTGATGATGAAGAATTAATAAATATTGGTTGGAACAGGATGTGTTAAGCAAGTAAATATCAAACAATAAATCAGATGTGCATACTCAAAAATTCTAAAGAACTTTTGGACAATTTGAAATAACAAGATTTTACCAAAATCAACAGCTTAAAAACTAACGACTTTTCAACTTTATACACAACCATTCCCCACGATAAATTAAAGTCCAGGCTTTTTGATATCATTGACAGCTGCTTTTTCGATAAAAATTAAACTCGTAAATTTACTTACCTGGTCATTGGTCATTTGCAAAATTATTTTGTTAAAACACATTCTGATTGCACACACATGTACAGTTGAATTTGACATCAAAGAGATGCCTGAGTTTCTGATTGACAATATCTATGTGTTGTTTGAAAACCAGGTATTCAAACAATGTACTGGAATTCCAATGGGTACTAATTGCTCCATTATTAGCAGACCTATTTTTATATTCATTTCAAGCAGAATTTGTGCAAAATCTTATGCGTGAAAAGAAGAAAATAACTGCTGTGGCCTTCAACTCAACATTTAGATATATCAACTATGTATTGTCAATTAATAATGGTCATTTCCATTCCAACGTCGATACGAAATATCCTGGTGAGCTTGAGATAAAAGATACCACAGAGTATGATAAACGTGATGACTAACTTTTCTATCGTCAACTTCCCTTACTTATGCAGCAATATATCTTCATCACCTGCATACGGAGTATATTTATCTCATTTGATTCGATACGCAAGAGCATGCTCTACGTATGAACAATTTCTAAAACGAGGTAAATTACCGACAAGAAAGTTGATGAAACAAGAATATCAGCAGTCTCGTTTAAAGTCATCATTTCGTAAGTTCTATGGTCGATACAATGACCTTGTCAGCAAATACAATTTATCATTGAGTCCAATGCTGACTGACATTTTTCATACTAATTGTTAATCCATTATTTATACACTGAATTGACGACGAATTTTCCCGTTATTTACTGATCATGACAAGGAGTACACGGCGGGTGTGACCGGTCAGCAGGGGATGCTCACTCCTCCATGGCACATGATCCCACCTGATGTTTCGGAGGTCCGTGTTTGCTCTGCTCCTATTTTGTATTGTTTAATGGACTTTATATTTTTATTACACTATGTTCTGAAATAACTGCATTTCCTCTGTTTATGCGTTTTGTGCTTCTTATTGAACGTTTGTTGAATAAATACAGCTCCTTAAACAATGAAACGTTTTCTATTGTTTAAACGTAAGTGATAGAGAATTTTGACTTTCTAAAATTTAGCTTTTAAGAATTGAATCTAACTTGTTTAGAAATTACGCTTATTGCTTCAGATAAACAAAGTTGTCTCATTTATGATAAAAAATATTCACAGAGAAGGCGCTCATCAATACAACCTGGAATTTATAAGGAATAAATTATACTCCAGTAAAAAAAAACTTAAAGGTTATTTTCAAGGTTTATTTTCAAGTTATATATATATATATATATATATATATATATATATATATATATATATATATATATATATATATATATATATAAAGCACTAAAAAAACCAACAACACTGTATATCCTAAATGTCGGATCTATCAAGTAGATCCAAGGTCACGGATGGAAATTTATAAAAAGCACTAAAAATGACCAACGACAAACAATAAAAATTGTCAAATTTTCAAAGAATGTCCCTTCCTCAGGA